TATATTTTACAATCACTGAAAATTCTAATTGATTTTCAATGTCTAATCAAAGTATACAATACATGTTCCTATTGTGCTGTCATTCCAGTTACTAATATGTGTATAAATTGTATGCATTTAAATGCAGTGAAGCTGATTCTATTTGGAATTAGTGAAATTGTTGAACTTTTTTACTTAATGCTTTTGAAGAGTTGAACCGTTTTTATTATAAGTAGATTTAGTATGAAACATGTCATTGAACATCTAATATAGTTATAAATATATATATATAATAAAATAAAATAAAATTGTATTATTTAAATAATATAAATTTGATACTATTTCACATGATCAATGTTTATGAAAATTAATAAAACTTGGAAGTGTCATAATCAAATGATACGTAGTAACCAGTATTCTATTCCTATTATTCGTTTATTATTTATCAATAATTAATATTCATAAAAAAAAAAAAAAAAAATGATTCAATATTTTATTACTTCTATTAATAATAAAATAACTATAAATAAATATATAAAAAAAAAAAGGTATACTTATGTATACTTCAATAGTACGAGAGAAAAAAAATAAACTTAATTATTTTCAAATTGTTGATAAACTGTTGGATTTAATAACTGAAACGGTGTACCGGGGTTAATAAATATCTTCCGGATATAATAAGATCCGGATCTTTATAAAAATGTACACAAAATAAATATCAAGTTATTTATTTAACGTTAATTAAAAGTAATACGATTAATTTAATAAAATTATTCCGGGCCGCGGCGGGCGGTATCGGACCTGGACAGGTGCGATAGAGAATTTGATACACGGACGACGGCAGACTTAAGCAAGCGACCGTATCGACCGCGATCACTTTACCAGCGAACACTTGTGTAAGCGTGCCGGAAAGGTTTGTACGGATATTGGGCCGGTTTTAGTGTCGACGAATAGGTCCATGAATCGCGGAGCCCTGTGTGTAAATGCCTCTGGAACCGGGTTCGTGGTTGTTTTTCACGGCCGTGGTTGCCGCAGCTGCCGTGCAGTCGTCGAGGTTGCTGTCGCCGTATTCGAGATCACGGTGAACGCCGCAATTTCCTGCGTCGTGTTCGCTGCAGCCGTCGTCGTAATTGCCGTCGTATTCTTCTTATCTTTTGGATGTTGATCGTTGTGAACGGAAGAGCTCCGAAAAGTGACCGGTAAATACACCCGATCAGACATCGACGCTCCATTCCCATTGGTTGAATTTCTATCGATCCAGTCGACGATGTAAAACGAAACTATTCCTCCGCTGTATTTTGGTTGCCTTCATGCCGTTTCACATCTTCACAATGATGTTATTGGTGGCCCTGAAAAAGGCCGTTTTCGTTTGAGAGCGGGCTCCGTTACAGAACTCTGAATATTTTTCTGAAAAAATTATCCCAATGCAATTTTATTAAATAAAATATCTCATAAATCATACAGTATTCAGTTCAACATCAATAAAATTAATATAATATTACATAGGTAATGTATGATGTATTAATGTTCCTACACGATCATTTATATGTGTATATGGTTTTAAGATTATTATATAGGTATGTTTAATCTGTTGATAATTTTTTTTTTTTTTATTTTTATTCAAAACTTTGTCCGTTTATTCATATGAAAAATGTTTAAAGTTAATATTAATTATTTTTATTTATTAATAATATATACGTATTGCTTCAATACTAAATTAATATCGGATTATAAAATGTAACTAATTTCAACAAAACTCATAAAATCGGTTATAAAATACATTGTATGATCTGTACAATTTTATCTGCTTTTATCGTTTTTGTGCTATATTACTCGTAATTTGTTCTTAAATATTGATAATAAAAAATATCGAACATAATTAGGAATTACATTTTATTGTATAAGAGTATGATTTCATTATTTATGATATTTATTCAAATTAATAATTATTTAAATTAAATGTAATATTCTTCACTGGTTGTAGTATTTATTTTTCTCTAATTTCGATAAAAATGAAATTTAAAAATATTGAGTATAGTATAAAAATATTAACTGTCAGAAGACCCCATCAATATAGCATCTCGGAATAATTATTGTTTTTAAAACGAAACGTTATAAATTATATATCTATTCATTGGATGACATACTTCTTGTTTCTCGCACGTCCTTCGTAATGGTCAGCAAAAGTTATTGAATTTCTTTGATTTATCTAGTACATTTGTACGATTATTTCGAATAATCCTCGACGTCATTTATTTTATCGACTGCGATTCTTTTTCGACTAAAGTAAAATCAAATTTCTTCTTAGTAACTAGAATCATTTTCTAGAATTACAATATATATATATAATGCTTATTTTGAAGTCACATAAATAATTTGATACATTTTACAAAATTATGAACACTAATGGTTTGACTACTATCGATTATATTTTTAGAACTCTCATTATGTATATATGTTGCAACCAATGCATTTAATTGTTAATTTTCAGTTGAAAAAGATAAATGAAAAATAATAAAATATAGTATCTAATTAGTTTTATAAAATTATAATAGTATAATAGGAAATAATATTCAATCATAGTTGATTTTCGAAAACAATGTTGTATCGTCCGTTTCAAATTTCTTAAAAAAATAATAATTCTTCAAGCTTAGGTGGATCAAAATGAGGCGATTGCTAGGCCTTCCAATATTCGTTGGTATCCTATGGTTAATATAGTCAATGTTAATTGATAAGTAATCACATTTTAATGTATATCAAATATTTTTTCATCGTAATACCATCATAGCCCGATCAGTAACTTCACCAGTGTATTCAAGTATACTTATATTGAATCAATAATTTTTCAGTCTATAGGTAATGTCTTTTTTTTTAGTTTTATTATTTAACTCAATATTTGAACAAACATATATTCTTTATTTACCACATTAAAGTGTATTATATTGAGTATATGATTATTTTGATAGCGTATTGGAAAATTAAAATTCAAAACAAGTAATACAATTTTAAATGCAGTTTTTATTATTCAAACATTTTACTTTTATATTTACGCTGCATTTGTATAAAACTAGAAAAAATGATATAATATTTTTTAAACAAAATCTATTCTTTGAAGTTAAATTACTTGATTGTTATAAGTTTTATCTTATCATTTCATTCGAATGACTTACAAATATTGTGATATATATTTTCCCTTCAAGAGATTTTCCCTTCTAAATAACAACGAATTCTATTTATCAACGATTCTAATAAATCATACCAGTCAGCTTTGTAAAAATAGGTATGTAATATTCAGACTTTTATTGCAATAGGTACGCATTAAATCTCGAGTGACTTCTCATGGAATATTACATTTGATTCGTCGAAAGATTTGAAAAAAAAAGAAAATATCTTTGACGGAATTTCTTTATGTTCAAAAATGAACACTTGACATAAAATTAACCGAAAATGTTCATTTTTTATTAACATAAATTAAGATTCTAAATTTATAAATTAATTTAAACGATGGATGTATTATTATTTTCTAAATCATGATATTTAAAGATAATACTATTATGACCAAATCGCATTTTTTATTTATAATTTTAAAACAATTTTTTCTAAAATAATTGATATACCATTGCAAACAAGTTAACGTCACTGAACAATATTTTATTATTATGTAAGCTGTATTTGTACTGTACTTTGATGGATACAGTTAAAACTAATTTTTATCATAGGTACAGTTCGTGTAAAATATGAAGTTAAAATAAAAATTGTTCATTGTTCTAAAAACTTACATATGCTTGAATTATCGAATAAGTGCCGGACTATTAAGCCAAGTTCATGAATTCAGTATGGAATTAAATTAAAATAATCTAAAATCTTTACTCAGCACTGTAATTTATGGTACTTAAATATTTCATTTACTTTTTAAACATTAACCTGACAAAGTGAATTGTTGTGGCTTACAATAATGTTTAAGGAAATTCGTTAAAATACGATTTAATATTTTCTCTCTATATTTTATGTATCATAATAAATTATCTAGTACTGATGTAAAACATTGTAAAAATTATCAATTCTATCAAACAAAATATTTGAATTTAGTTAAGATTGTTATATAATCTTAATAGTTAGTGGAAATATAAAAATTCGAAGTTTATAAGTAGTTTCTTCTCGGCATAGCTAAGAGATAGAAACAGACATTTTTAATTTTAATTAAATTAAATATAACACTATATTATGAATGTACAATGTACATACAATATTTATGAATAAGAAGCCCATAATATTATGAACTAATACTGCAACACTTCCAGAGAATATTGTTTTAGCTCTTTTTGATTTATTTTCTATTCCTGAATAATATTACTCGTTTTAATATTTAAATTACTGATGTAAGTAAAATTAAAAAATCAAATCACCAAACTTTTTTTTTTCTTTGAGTCAAAATGAAATGATTTTTTCACGATATGTCCAGAATAATATATATTTATATATTGTATATAGTTTAAACAACAATACATAGTATTATGTTCATGACTAATAGTTTCATAATTCTGATACCTTTTATGTATTTCAGTTTAATGTTATAAATTTCATTAAGTCGTATTAAAATAATTTTGCAAATATTTATAATATTATTATGAATCTTAAAAATATAATATAAAAATAATCTATAACATGAAACACACTCAGAATAGAATATTAATTTTTATAAATGTTAAGCTTATGATAGCCATAAAAATGTTTTCTTTCAAATCTTTATCTCTAAACATTTTACTATTATGTAATTTATTTAAATAAAATGTTCACGTCAAAGTAAAAATATTATTATCACTTATGCTAATTATCAATGATAATTTACAGATTGTTTGTATACCAATAAATATAAAAAAAAAAAACAAAATATGATACTTTTAACCATTGTTAGATGATTTTTAATGTAAACACACATTATTTATTAGTCCATATTTGTTCAACAATCGTTATAATTTTTTATAAACAATTTGTACTATATGTGTTTTATTATTTTATAGGATGTGTATGGAAATACACCACTTCACTTGGCTATCATGCAGCCAGAAATTTCTTGGAACTGCGTTTTGGACCTTCTCGAGTTTGGTGCAAAAATTTGCATTAAAAACACCACAGACATTTGCCCATCGGATATAGTTAACTCTTTATTACGCATACAAGTTTACATGATCAACGACTGCTGGAAGATTTTATCTGGATCAACGGCTGTCACCAAAGGTATATTGCTCAATATTATATCTGATTCATTCTCACCGATAAATTATTCTAGAAACTGAGATGACAATTAATCACAATAAGAAATATTAAATAAAAAACTTTAACACTCAAGCTCAAGAATAATTGAATAAATATTTTGTAGGTCAGAGTTATAATGCGTGACTGTATTTAAACGCTTTAATAACATGAAAGTGTTCAATACACTTAAACACGTATTGTTTTATACAGTGAAAGAGTCTGAACACATTCCTTACATTGTTGATATACCTTTTTCGATATTTATATACTTTTGAGCCCGTTCAACACTTAAAATTTGCATGCCGTTGATGGATTTCCTACCTACTTCAAACCGTACGTATTGTTTATACGTGTCCAAGACGTTGCAATATTTTTTCTCTCCTTTCAAATGTATGCCGTAAAATTTTTAAAATTATATCACGCTGTGCTTAATGTAAATATACTAGGTGACTGCCATAGGACCATTAAAAATTATGGTGTGTTCCAAATCGCGTTACATCATCTGGTACCTATTATATCAATGTGAAGTTATTTGGTTACTGAGTTCGTTGGTTCATAAAATTCACTTATTTACCATTTCGTTCGTAATACCGAAATGTATAACGTCATTAAAATTATTTTTGAGCTAACCAATATAATTGAAATAGTTATTATTAAAAATCGTTTGTAAAAGTTCATTAATAGGTTGTGGATTATAGGTAAGTATACATTAAGACATCGTACAGTTTTTATTTTCATTATCTTTGAATAAAGGTTATTATTTAAAGAAGTGATTTATATAAATAACAAAATGCCATCAAGTAAATATATTTCAGAACCAAATATTGCTATTATTTAGACAAAAAAGTTTCCATAATACTCAGATCTTGAATAGATAATCTTATTTTATAATATATTTATATATATTTAATAACATTTTAGTTGATAAGAATTCAGTCGCAAAATTTGACATCATTGAATTATTTTTATTATTTATAATGTAATCATAAAATTCACTGAATAAATGGAAAACAATTAAATTAAAGCCATAGATGCTATTACGTGACGTCAAGTCGAATTATTATAGATATGTTGTCAGCGTTTACTTGACATCCATGTGTCAACGCTTTTCTACTTCTTTATTATATGTCACTAATTCACCTTCAATTTCATAAATTAATCATACATAAACACATTTAAATTTTACTCTTTGTTATTTTTATTAAGATGTATAATCTAAAAAATTGGATTCGTCATAATCTGGAAAAATTATTTCTGTTTTTTTAAATCACACTCAAATACAATTCGATAAACACTAAATTATAAAGAGTATGATCCTTTCATATTTATTACACCTACTTTACATTGTAATTGCTATTACGTGTAAAAAAATTTACATAATACAACTAATTTTAACCTATAAAATTTGATAGTTATAATTTTTAGATAAAATTATTAGTAGACTTACTATAAATTATGCACATATTTATTATATTTATTCAATACTTGATCAAATAATACATTTTATTTTATAAAAATTCTTTAAATTATGCAATCAAATTATTCTAAATATTCTATATTTTAATTCTATTATTTCCCTTGTTGAAATATTAAAAAAATAAATATATTTGTGAACTTATAATTATTAAATTAATAGGTTTAATAGGTTTAATGCGTTCAAATATTTTCTAGAATTCATTATAATTTTTGCACAAAAAAATATTTGATTTTTATAAAATAGTCAAGTAATTTATAAGTTTTAATTTCTAATTATTATACATAATTTTTATGAATGCTTTTCTTTTTTTAAAAATCCCGAAGATATTTAGTCAACAGTTTTTCATACTTATAAAGTTTTTACATAAATGTGTTCCATTATAAATAAACTGTTAATCCTATGCTTTCAAATATATACACACTTTTACTCCTAATTAAGAAGTCTACTTGATAGTAAAAACGTGACCAGATTGTTTGAACTATTGACAATTCAAAATAATACACCTGGTATTTTTGACCTCAACAGTTTTTGTTTGAATATTTTTCAAATTAACGTTTCCTATATTATTGTTAATTTTTTTTAATGATAATTATTCTTTGCCCCTAGAACGAGTATGGCGTTATAATTTTGCCAATATCGAGCAAACGGTCAAACCAACGGATTTACCTACTTTGCCATCGAGATTATTCCGGAGAATGAAATTCACACAAACTGATAGTGGAGAAGAACATCACAGTAATAACATAGATGATTTCTTTGGATCAATTTGGTCGCTCAGGAGTAAAGTTAGCAATAAGAGTCCAGATACGGTAAGAACGAAATATTATAGGTATTACAATTTAAATTTTAACCAGATTTCATTTAAAACGGTTGTAAATAATGATTTAATTTTCAAATTTAATACGTAAATTTAAATCTGTTTATTTTAACTTCTTATCACATATATATTATATTATATATATTCACTTGTGAACGTTATGATATCATATACAATACTATACAGTACTACGGGTCATAGAATATATACTATGTTTTTAACTACACTCGCGGTGTCTAATGTTTGACTCACATGCCAAAATAAATTTTAACGGATAATCCATCCAATGAATTACATATCGTAATGTAATACCGATTGAAGGCACAGACGAATGGTTCAAAATGATAATAATAATAATTGCTATAGTGTCTTTGGAATCAAATTATTCGTCAAATGAAAATGAAAATAATAACACTAATTATTACTATTTGCAAGACACGCGATGGAAAGAGGATGTTCCTTGTAATACTCGTAAAGTCGTAATATAATATAGTAGGTACCACACCCATATCGAAAGTCGAAACTCCGGTTGTATATATTTCCAAACATTGTGTTCAAAGGTAATTATTGTATATAATCCCTTCATAAACTATTTAAATATACATGACTTTTTTATTTTGCCTAACATTCCGATCAAACATGGTTTTCCGTTAGTAATTTTTATACTCTAACAGAATACCTATTTTGACAGTCCCGATAGGGTGAATAAATAATATAAATAGCTGCATCCGAATTGGATCCCGAATTTAAAATTACTACACTAGTTGGGTCCTGGATTTTTATAGGTACTACACTAGTTCCTGAATATTTTTTGGTAAGTGCTACATTATACTAACATTTTTCTTCCCATTTTATCAGACTTAGGACTGTCTATGATTTATTTAGACTACAGGTATGCTTAAAAATGTTTTTTATAGTTTTTTTTGTTTTTTAGAAACTAAAAAAAGAAAAAAAAAAGCTATAAAAAACATTTTTAATCATACCTGTGGTCTAAATAGATCATAAGCAGTCCTAAATCTGTTAAAATGGGAAGGAAAATGTTAGTATAATGTAGCACTTTCCAAAAAATATTCAGGAACTAGTGTAATGCCTAAAATAATTCAGGATCCAAATAGTGTAGCACCTATAAAAATCCGGGACCAAATTAGTACACTACCTGTGATAAGCCCCTAGTGCTCGGACCCAACTCGGATGCTCGGATATAAATATAACTAGCTAGTTAAAGATTGTGAGTGAAATCATAATATTATTGCTCGTGCGGTAAATCGTGTAAAGCACGTGGCGCGTAACATATTAACTGTGTCTCCGTGCGTGTAGATTTTTCACGATACCTTAATTTTATACTAAGTTATGAGTTATTTTTAAACTTTTATATTTTTACTTTATCTTGGCTTACAAAGTATCGTAAAAACAAAAATAAAACGTGAATAATGTTCTTTTCTTGAAGTTAGATAATAAGATCAGTTTATTCTATTAGTGAAGTGGAAAGTTGAAAATTGGTCATAGACTTACCTTATTGCACGTTTGTAAGACGGAGACAACATATACGGATGGCATCCGTCGGAGCTTGCATACAATTTCGATTCCATATGCTTTGTCGTTGAATTAAATGTCGAGCTAACCCGCAATATTGGGCAAACAGGTTGATATGAAATATCGTATAGTAAAAATAATTAAACCTCTATGAGCATACGTACACACGTTCATGATCAGAGTCATAATGATAGATATAATTGTAGAACATGACAAGATTTTTCACTGATGGTCAACTGTTATGACACTCGCATTGACTACTGGATGCTCGATGTAGATTTCACGTGTCACCTACATGCACCCAAATGATGTGACGTTTAAACTGGCCTGTTGTTGATTAAAATTCAATTAATTTTGGCTAACCATCACGATGCATTCTGCTCGAAATGTGTGTGCATGTGTTAATACGATATCGGTGACAATGTTTATAAACGATAAACTGATGCCATTGCGTGCGGGTAGCGGATAAATGTGAACTCAAAATGGTCATCAGAGAGTACACTTTATAGGATAGGTCGAGACAAAGGGAACACGTGAATAAGAGTAACACGCTGTAATACGTTGTATCGATTAATATATCGTATTATGTATGCTAGATAATATAAACGTTATTAATGTTATTATTATTTTCAACAATATAAATATTGAAAACCCTACTTATCGGATCTTCGATATGACGTTTAATATAATTTATTGAACAGGTAATCAAAACTCATTTTTTCTAAACTACAATGCATTTCTAATATAAATATAATCCAATAGAAAAAAGTTGACAAAATGGGCTACGTTTTCAATAAAGTCCTATTTTCGTGGTTTTACACAACTAAATTTTCAAAAGTATTATTTGATATTTCAATCCATCGATATTAATCGTAAGAAATACAATTATATTTGAAAATATAAATTTCTTATTAATTTTACCAAAAATATTCTGTGTAAAATGCAAACTATCTAAACTCTAGCACTATTATATTTTCATTAGAATAAAATGAGAGTTGTATGTGTTTACTAATACGTATCATTAGATTTATATATAAGAAATATTTAAAACTTAAATTTTATGTGAGAATATAATAAAAATAAGTATATTATAAGTATAATAAAATTACTCAATTCATTTTCCTTTAATATATAATTTTATTTTATGAACTAACTATCGCCTATTTTAATTATATGTACTTTCAATGTATACTGTTTAATAATGGTACTCTGTTTATATGCTAAACAGGATGAAGTACGTACTCATGCGACATTGCAATCTAACAAAACGAAGTGCGACATGAAAACTAGTGTTTACGATTACGGTAAGACACTAAAATCCTCTACGTAGAAGTTTACCAACATTTTTTTCTTGTATTTATTTATGTTAAATATTAAACAATATGAATTTTTATAAAAAATCAGGGTCCAATAAAACCCATCCACAACTTAAGCGAATCTATTTACGTTTCATATTGACAATGTATACACACGTTTCTATGTTTTGATCATAAGGTTAATTAGAACTTTTTTTTTGAGGTAAATCCCAAAAAACTTATGATTCAAAATTAAATATTATGTCTGACGAAGATTTACTAATTTAAAATGTTTGCAGTAATAAAATTTACATTATCCTTACACTTTAATTTATGAAATCCTTGGAGTACATTCCATTCATGAAACTATGTCAATACCGAATACATATAAATAGCATGTTTTTCCAAACAAATAAAATATATTTTCTTTTGTTTAAGTTAATAAAATAGAATTTATAAGAAAAATATTGTAATGTTAACATTATTAAAATTTTGATTCAATATTTATATGAGTAGTTAAAGATTAAGTAGTTAAAGGCGCGACATTTTATTAAAAACAATCATTGTTAATTTAAATTAAATTATTTTAAAATATCACCACCAAAATTATTTTAGTGGTGATATTTTAAACTTGAGTTATTAACTTTTTTGTACACTTATTAATTTTACACTTCATAAATTAAATATTAATAATTAAGATAATTATATAATACAATTAACAGTAAATGTAACAAAATAATTATCTCTGATACTGGTAGGTAATTTCACATTCTCGTTCTTACCATTACATCCAAGGATTAAGAAGGATTTTAAAAATAAGAATCCATTTGAAATTACTAATGTTATTTATTTTATTTAAATTAAAAACATTTCTAATTAAGACATAAGAAGTTTCAAAAAAAACTTTTTTTATAACCTAATTATTAGGTATGCAATTAGTAATAATAATTATAATTAAGTTTTAATTTTTATAAGTAATAAAACATTTTAAAGCAAGCTGTATACTGTATATAATGAGTATACATTTTATTTTCAATATGTTAACATTACTACCATTAATTTATCATACTTTTTACTATCGATATTATGAATTTGAAATTCATTTGTTTGGAAGATTAATGCGATGCAGTTAATAAAATCTAATATAACATTTTTAAATTTAAAGTACTGTCTATATTATACTTATGAATATTTTTTATAATTTTTGATAAAACAGTTAATATTATATTATTTGTATTTAATAATTAGTAAAACCTATGTTTAATGTTAAAAAAAATAAGGACTCTCATACAAAAATGCCAGTGTTTAATGTAATTTTTTACCTTGTGACTATTAAATAATATAAATCATGAGCAGCATATTTATTCTGAATCTGAATTTTAATTAAAAGACAATTTTGCATTTAGCTTTTAGAGCAATTAGTTCACTATATAGAAGTATATTTTAAGAAAATATCTATCTTTTATTAATTAGCATTCAAATATTTTATAGTTTACTTTGCATAAAATAAATAATTTGATAATTTGTTTTAATAATTTAAGCACTAATACAATTACTGTAGTGTATAAATCAAAACAATATATTAGATAATGATATAATTTACTAAAAAAAAAAAAAGAAAAAAAGAATCCTCTTGTAAGTATTCATAAAAAGTGTTTTGACATCCATGCGAAATAAGGATCTACCCAATAAGTTAAGAATTATTATATGTTTTATTCTATATTAGTATGTTCAGGATAAACAATAGTACTATTTGAGACGTGTTTATTTCGGAATGATGTTCAGTTGATAAACGTAGTCATTTCGATTAAATTAATGTTTTTTTTTTTTTTTTTTTGACAGGTATTAAACATAAAAATTCAAAAGCATTAAAATTATACAATATTGAAAGAAAGTTTCAAGTAATTTCACATCTTTCTGGTAATGTGGAGTGCTTGGGTTTCATTTTAAATGGATTAAACAATTATATTGTGAACATATTGAAATATTTAGAAGCTAACTATGATCTGTCATTACGTCATATATGCACTCTACTCAAGACGATTTTGAACGTAAGTTGTAGTTATCTAAAATTGTTGGTAAATACGATATTTTTTAATTTTGTGGTAGTAGCGTATAAAAATCATTATTTGTATTTAAATTATATTTTTCACTTTTTTCTATGGTTAATATAGTATTATAATAAATTATTTCAAGTGTAAATTGCTAATAAAATGGTGTTACCTCATTAATTTAATTACATCGGTAAAAGGAACATCCATATTGTATTTACAGTTGTTTTATTATACGCTTGCATTACACTCATTTTGTAAGAATATTTTCTATGTGTTATGAGTATCTGCCTTTAGGAGATGATTTTTAGTTTAAAAGAAGGAACAGCTATAAATGGTTTTCTTTTAATCCGTTTACGTATTTGGTGCGTTATTTTTTAAGTTCATATTCAATATTATTTGTAATAGTTTGTAAAAATAGCAGCCTTTCAAGTAATATTGAATTAAACAATTTAAATATCTTTTTAGTTATTCTCAAAAATTTATTTTATTATAATTACTGTCGATAAAATGCTATACTTTTTTTCAAATTATGTAATAACTCACAAAATATGGTAATTTATGCTGAATTCCAATCAATCATTTATCTAAACTATTGTTAATTATAATTACTCTTCAAGCTCCAACATACTGTTTTATTGTATATAATCGTTGATTTTATTACGCAGAGATTCGTCATTCAGCAGTTTATTTAGTAATGGTTGAACGAAAAATTTTTAGATACATATCAATTATATATTAATTCATAAATAACATTTTTCCCACGTTTCATTTTGTTGTTGCTGTATTTAGAAATATAAATGTTTCTAAATTTGAATACCTTTTATCGATTAACTGCGGTTTGAAAAGTTTGAAAACGATTGATTTTTTAATTCAAAAATATTGCTGTAATTATAATCTGTTGCGGCGTCATGAAAATAAAAGTCTAAATGATAAATGTAAAAATATCGGCAGAATATCTAGTTTTAAAATTTGAAATGTTCAAAACAAAATATTTATCATTGATGTAATATTATACAGATACCACATCCTATTTTAAAAATTGGTAGTGTCTACATGGATGCAACTATTAGACGTCGCTGTAATCGTTTGTATTCATCTAGATAAAATCAGGCTTTCAATAATAGAAACAACTGCTTTCCATTTCATTAATAAAAACTTAATGTATCAAGTTGATTGTAAACGACTGTAGCGACATATAGTGGCAGCATTTCTGTAGCTGCTACTTACTTTAACAATTAGATGGCGTATTTGTATATTATAAAATCAATGATTTCTATCAATATTTATCTAAGATAATATTAAAAAATAATTCAAATAAATGTGATCAAGATTCGAGGTTAAAGTATCCTTTTTTCAGTTAAAAATGCATACATTTTTTTTTAATTTAATACTTCTTAGACTTGAAATTTCAATAAAGATTTCTTCATTAGTTTTTCAATTTAATAAATAAAATAAAAGTTATTCTGGAAAGTTGCAAATATTTTTTTATCAACACAAAATAACGAACATTTTTTTTTTTTTAATCGGATACTCCAACAAATTTATATTTAATGATATTAGCTATTAAAATATATTAGAAAGGACTAAAAAATTTACTGAACAATAAACCTGGTATTATATACCTACTATAATAATTAATGAATTAATGAATTAATGAAATCAATAAAATAAAATATGACTAATATCGAATTTTTTTTTTTTGTTATTTCTATTATGATCCAACTAAATATTACAAATTAACGAAATATGATACTTCCACTAATATAGAAATATAATAGTAGTATTAACTGTCTTTAGGCATAAAGGCTAATTCATCTTCCGTACTCGCCCAGAATCATTTTTCAAAACTACCAATTTAAAATTTGTAAATTAATTAATTTATATCTTCAATAAATTGTGCCTTACACTGTATCTCATCTAACTTCTGTAATTCACCTTAATTTCAATTATATTTAAATTTTAATTATAATTAATATAAATAATGAAAATTGACGAGCATTTTATTCTTTGATACATTGTGACGTTTTAAGAATTAATTAATATTACATCTGATAATTTTAATAAACTGTACTAAACATAACAAATTATTGAAAAAAGATTAGGTTAAGTTAGTGAAAATTCATAAATAAGTTTTGATCAAATAACGTTACCTTTACTTACCTTTATGTATAAATCACTAATGTTATGCACATAAAATTCTTCAGAATCTCTATTTTATTGACATTTTATTTGTCAAAAGCACTTCTGAGAAAACTTTTATTTGTTACTTTAAATGCCTGATTTGAACATTGAATACTCAGAATGAATAATATTCGAAGCAAATACATTTTGAATTTTATTTGTGCCATCTTAAGTATTTATAATTATAATTAGCAATAACTATTTAATCTTATTTATAATACAATTAATTACATTTTAATACATCCATTAATTATATATCTATGCCTATACTTATTTAAATAGTTATTTCATTTGAACTGAATTATGTATTTATATTTTTAAACGTAATTCAGGTGGCTGTTAAGGAATTCGGAGAACAAGGAAAGAAAGAAGAGCTAAGCGTAGTCCTTTGTTCTGTTATGAAAGTATGTTTAAACGCGCTTCAAGGAATTCATCATGTGCAGTTCACAGCGATGGCAATAATCAATAGAGTTATTGATATTTCCGTACAATATAATGTGACTTTTATCAAAGCTGTCGAATCGGATTATTTACATCATCCTCACTACATTTCAGAGTAAGTCTCATCAAAATAAATTTATCACTTAACATAATATATTGTTTAGTAAAACGACCCAACGTATTATTATTATTTTTTTTATCACTTTTTGTTATTTTTCGATAAACAATTAATTTAAAACATCAAACTGGATAACGTAGAAATTTTTTTTTTAAGTTTTCTTACGTTTCACTTTTGACAAGATAATGCCAATGTTACTAAAAGTTTAAGTTCTAGACATTTTGGCTATAATAATTGCTCATTGCATTTTGAATTACTGTAATAGTTTATAGTTTGTAAAAATATTTTGGAGTAACCAAGTTTTAAAATCAAGACATTGTATTCATAATAATTTATTATTGTATTCATAATATCAATTTATTTACTTATCTTTAATTTATTTTTAATTAATAACAATATTCAAATATTAAAGTATTATATTCTTACGAAAGTATATTACGATTAAAATATGTAATGAATATTAAATAATTAAAATTCAAATGTATAGAAAATACTAGCAACATATGGACATTAGATGCCGGATATTCACCTTACTATAAACGCATAAGCATACACTCACGTCTATACAGGACCGAGCATTACTATAATTAAAAAAATCCATGGTTCATAGAATTTTAAATGCATTTTTAAGGAAATCCTGTTCATTTTGGAGTGTTGAAATTACATTTTTAAAATTCTAAATTGTTTACCGATAAATTATTTTTTTTAAGGTCACTCCACACTATGCATGTTTAGCGATTCGCCTTTCGAATTTTCACGTTTTTGTTTAATTTCGTAAATAGTGTGTATAGCTTTTTCTTGAAAAACTTATCGTAAAAACTGTTTTGCAGTGTTTCACGAGCGAGGCGGTAAATTAATGAAATCAAAGTGCACAAAAAAATAGTTACTGATTGTTTTATGGCGTTTCGTTGTGTTACGCATAGTTTCGCGTTATTTCGGATTCCATATGTTTTCGTAACCAGGAGGTTCATAATATTACTTGATTATAAATTGAATTAGATATAAGATATAGATAAACGAATATTATCAATTATCATTGTGCAGAGTTCACCATATCTGTATTTTTTTTTTTTTTTTAGTTTTTAACTCATTATAATATAAATTGACCTGGCAATTAGTAATTCAACTTTTTTATCACTAATAATTAATTTTTATTTAAATAAATAGGAACAAACAATCTCTATGTTGACATAAATTAAACGTACTAAATAACAGTCAACTGAAAACTGAATTAAACACTAAACACTAACTTACTTTTTTAAACGAAAAACGCGAAACGTGAAACATGCATAGTGTGAATCGATTATTTAAAAATTCTTCAATCGATTTGATTATTAATTTATGTTTTTAAGTTTCTAAAAATTAGTATGTAATACTTATATCATTTTTAAAAATATAAAATATTATATTTAATCTTTTCATTCATAAATTTTTTTAAAAAGTTAGAATAATTTAAAAACAAACTACGTTATTTTTAGATTGAATATACCTTATTAACTTTAACTATAATATGATTTATATTTATAATGATTTCACATTTTTAAATCGATCTTAGTAAAATAATTTTAATACATTTCCAGATTTTTAATCCAAATAATTATTTAATATTGTAAAAGTATACTTTATTTTTGTTGTATTAATGCACATTTTAACTCTGTTCAAAAACGGTTCTACATATTGTTCAATTTTATAAACAAATATTATATAAAAACAAAAATATAATAAAATGTGATTTGTGGTTCTAAAATAAGACCCCAGTGGTGAACTAGCTTCTTAGTTGCCAGGTAGCAAATCCTACCGGAAGCTGTAATATTTCTTAATTTTTGACATAGTATCTGTGTATTCTTTAAATCTCGAGACCTACTATTCGTACTATTTTATTTTTCACTTGCCACAAGAAACATAGAATCCCAATTTTTTATTTACTATGAACAAATTTATTTGTTTTAAAGTTGTTATGCTTGTCTATATTAATGTTAATAAGTGATCAATCAGAAACTTTGAGATGATTATGAATTAGAAAAAACTTAAGTCATTATGTGTCAACAATTAGAATTCATAGTATTAATATCCAAGCAAAAAATTGGCTAGTTGAACAAAGGTAACATTTTTAATATCTAGGCATAATTATGAAAATAATATCCAGAATCACACAGGCAAAGTCAGCTTTCATAAATAAGAAAATATTTTTAAGTCCCAGTAGTCTAAGGTAAAGAAGCGGGTGAGAAAACGCTTCATAAAATAATACGTATGGAGTGTGGTACTATAAGGATGCGGAAGCTGGATACTAAATATGGCAAATCAACAAATCCTCGAAAGCTTTAAAATATGATATTGGAAAAGAATGCTGTAAGTGAGTTTGATAGAACACCGTATCAACGAAATCATACCCAGTAAAATAAATGAACGCAGACAGACCATCAAAGCAAGATGACAGAACATGATTGGTCACAAATTGAGGTATAAAAATTAACTAGTTAATTAAATAAAAGAAGCGAAAATTGAAGTTGAGAGATACTGAATACGTTCGAGAACTTAAATGGTCGGCAAATAATCTCCGAAGCTGAACTGTCAAAGTATATGGAACTAAAGAGGTTAGTGCTGGAAGTAGTAAAAAGTGGACGGTGCGTGTCCGACAGTTAAATCAACCATAGGGTAGGATACAAGAAGATATATATGTATATTATTTTATCATATTTTATTATTAGTTAAATACAGATAGATGTGTGGTTCGACTTCAAGAAAATGTAAAAAACCAATTAGCACTATATCACGATGTAGTAACTTAGGTACATTTAAACGTGAAACAAAAGCAAGTTAATATTTATATATGATGAGGTATGAAAATGTTTTATTGTTATAATTCGAATTAAGCAGGAAATTATGGCTTTGGTAAGTGGTAAAAAGATACTGCACTATTTCTGATGTGACACTGCTATTTTCGACGATTCCTATCGATTATAGAATATAAGCATAAACATTTTATTATCCACTTTGAATCCTCGTTTTTTTGCACGTATTATTCACCTGATATAGTACTAGACTACTAAGTGGCATTGACACAACAAAGGGGATGTACAATGGACAGGCGCACCCCAAACTTAAAATGTGCCCTCCAAGGTACTATTATAAAATATTCAGTGAAGGGTGGATAGCGGTGAAGGAAAAGCCTCTATAAGTTATTGAGCTTTTCAAAGTTTGTGCATCCACAAAAATATTGGTTTAATTGCACTTATTCTGTGTGAGTGTTATGTAAGACAAACTACATACAAGAATATATTATATTTTAATGAACATTACTTTAATATGAAATCTATAACTTGAAAGTATGTTATTTACAAGAAATTCAAGTAGAAGAGCAACTCACATAAACATTTAAATTAGCAACAAAAGGGGGACTTAAAATTATAAAGTTACTGGCCATGTCCGTACTCCAAAATTGTCATTGTAACCATTACAAAATTATTTCCAATGTGCTTAATGATTAAAACATAATTAGGTATAACATACGTTAAGCTGCGATAATGTCTCATAAATCAAATTTTTGTAAACAAACAAAATACTTTCGGTTGCAAATTCATTTTTACCATTTAAAAATACACTAAACAAAATTAGATTTGCAGTTAAAAAATAAAAGATCAAATAGAAAAATAAAATACAAAAAATGTTATTTCTCTTAACATTAAAATATATTTACAAAATTCAATGCCCATGTTTATAACACGATTTTAATTTATGAGAATATTAATAATGAATATTAAATTTATAATAAATAGTCGAATGTAATAAAAATGTTTAGTAAAAGTTAGTTAAATACCTGGTATTTGAATGAGCTATATTAATAATATTTGCTTTGAATCACGTCATTCATTGAATTGGTTATTAATTTTTAATTATTTATGATAACATTTTGCTTTTAAATATAAAAATATAAAATGTTTTGATTCTTCCTTTATTTTAAAATAGTGAATATATACTGTGTACATTTATGCAAAACAGAAGATTGATTAGGTACCTAACAAATGTTTTAGTATTGGTTGAGGTCGTCGACGTATAAATAAATAAACGTTTTTTTGGCTTAACATGGCAAACTGTAAGGACCTATGTAATTTATTTTATAAATATTTTATTTACAAATAAAACGAACGAAAAATTCTGAAAAAAACTACTACGAGTATAAAGCGTAATTCTACAGTCACAGTCATGCTGATAATGTTTCTTTTCTTTTAAGTGTCCATTCCAGTGCCCAATCTGTTCCGTGTCAAATTTTACCAAAATGTGTGGCTTTATTCGCTTGGATAAAAATTATTATTAATAACTATTAAAAATAAAATTAATGTGAAAAAGAAAAATGCAAAAGTTTTAATTTACGTCGAAAATGTTTAAACGATTGAACTCGAAAGGGACAGAAACTTAATTACTTATTCCATATAGAACTACATTAAAATTTCTTTGGCGTCGTTTTCAGTATTAGCAATTATATTAAATTATATACGTGGTATACGTGTATTTAATTTTCAGAATGAACAAGTACAAATCGAACAAGGACGAATCTCTTTTTGGCGACGATAAAACGAAAGTGATGGGGTCCAACAAGAAATTCGCTTCGATGTGGCGGTACTTCATCGGTGAACAGGCATTCAGCGCCAAGGCAGGAAACTTGAAAACAAACAAGAACACCAGCGAAAGCGTGATCGGTACATTACATAAATTTTCCTACCCACTATTATAGTATTTCTGTAATATTTTACGCGCATTGGTTTCGAGAAAACTACGTGCCTAACGTGGCCATTAATCAAACACAATGATTCGATTATTGTTATTTCAGGAATTTTATCCGACACAAACGTTTTATCGATTATCAACGTGTTGCACAACTCGCTCACTCTGTACAAAAGAGTGATTGGAAGTAAACGTCTATGCTCACCGAGCCACAGGTCCGTCGTAGTAGCCATATATTATTATTATTTTTATTACAGTTTACATTAAACAATAAAATATATTATCGTGCATACGGGTTCGCAAGGTTGATAATACAATATATATATTATTATGTATTTTTTCGTTGAAATTTTCCTGTTTTTCCCACCTGCGAATTATCGACGTGCTTATTTTTTTGCCATTTAGATCCAGTCAATGCAGTTACCACTGCTTACAGATATTGAGCGCTCGGACTTTGCTGTTCATGTCGCTCAATGAGGAGGTGAAAAGTGAACTGGTGAAGGAACCGCAACTAAAGATATTGGCTGCTTCGTTAGAATCTACCAACGATCCGGTTAGTTATCACGCATAAAGTTTAATACAATAACGTTTAATACAATACAATATTATTCTAATGTTGATATTTACTATGGAATTTTCTTTGGTTTTTCGGATATTTGCAGTATAATGTACAATAATTATTAGTTCACAAACGGTTGTGATCTAAATGTTCTATACAACGTATTTCTTTCCAACAATTTATATAAATCAACAAATACGTAGTATAAAGAATATTTATGATTAAACGTAATTTTAATATGTTTTATAAATTATTAGAAATCCTATACAATAATATATTTTCTCTCTTTACAAAATTATTTTAATACAAATAGCTTTAAAAAAACGAAATGTAAAATGTTATACTAATTATGAACTCATGGACCTCCATATTAACACATTCAGTGGGACCCATTCTTTTTTTTTTTTTGAAAATAAAACTAAAATAAATGAATTAGATAAGTAAATAAATAAATATATATGTACACATATACAGTCAATAGTCATCAATTTTATTTACATATGTATTTCCCAATTTCAGCAACTACTCGTGTTGGTGTTGCAAATCGTAGCGTCTATTGCATTGAATACAAAACATCACAAAGAGTTGATAGATCGAGATATTCCCAACGTTTTGAATCAACTACTACTTCCATCTGATGAATGGTACTATACGAATCACAGTGACAAATACGGTCGCTATGTGAAACACCATGCGGCTAGAGTGTTGGTGTATTTAGGGTTCTCATATCGAATTAACATTTCTGTTTTCGATATGTTTCAAGGTAAGTTTTTATTTAAATCTCCATAGTATAAAACGGTCGAAACAAAACATTAGTTAAACAAAACATCAGTAGTATTGTTCTGAAATTGAAATTCTATGATCGTAAATAAAATATTGATTTACGAAATTTTCTCCATCTGGAACGTCTGATTTGTTGATTAATTTTGTCATAATATAAGTTTTAGACAACAAAAATATCTCTGTGTATAAAGTTAAAATATTTTTTATACTTTTTTTTTTTTTTTTTTGTTGAATATTTTGACTAAATGTAATTTTATTAGGTTATAATCTCTGAAATTGATTTTTCGTTGAATTATATTTTTATAGATCTACAACCACAACTTCCTATATTTAAAACACACGAAGACAATTATATTTCAGTGACATCATTATCTCCGAGTTATGTATTATCATCCGATCAGTCAAAGCTGTTAGGTGTGTCAATAGAAACAGCAATTATAAATGTATTAAAAGAAATCGAGGTGAGTCAAATTCTTATCTCATTATTATGAAACGTAACTTTTTTAATTCAGTTTAAATCAATACTTACCTTACAATGATGGTTTAACATGCATACATTTTTGTGTTTAATTAAGTTAAAATCAATAAGTAATTCACATTGAATAGAATTGGTTGATATTCGTTTAATCGGAACAATCATTTTAAACGATCACTTATTAATTGTATAAAATTTAAATTATCAAACTTATAAATTAAATTTTAAAATACCATTACTTGTTTTTTAATAGAAATGTATACATTGATTATTATTAATTTTAATTTTAATTATATTATTGTATAAGAGGAAAATAATTGAAATGATATTGGTTTTTAGCAATCATTGAATCAGAATACTACACCATCTGAAGTATTTACATTACACTGGGCATTGAACGGGAAATCATATAGTCTCTTGGAGAATAATGGTATGAAAAATTATTTTTGAATGTATTTTTAATTTCACATAAACATAGAAAATACATTTTATTTTATTGAAACAATGCGCAGCCGCAGTGAATCACGAGCATTGTATTAAATCTGATCGGTAACTTTATATTAAATTTAGTCTGCTGCCTGATCACACTGCCATGTTCAGGGTCCAGAGTCTATTTAGGACTTGTTTTAGGATTGTTTATTTTCATATATTTAACTTGTGATATATTCTTATTGATATTCCCATATAAATACTATTATATTTAAATGTAAACTGTAATTTTATGCGAATAACTTTGAGAATATCGTCCCTGACCAAACTGAACTTTTTAACTCCTCATAATTTGTTTGATACATTATATAAAACGCGATACTGTCACTAACTGTAGGCTATGTTTTAATATTCGCAACATAAGTGTTGTTGTTGAAGACATTATTTTTTTATGCGCAAATTTTTGATAATTAAAATAGTTGCCCGCAATCAAGTCAATAAAATACGAATTCAATTCAATAAACCGGTGGTTCGGTAACGATAAATGTTTGACCCCTTTAAGGCCAGGCCAATTCGACAAAACTCTGTGATGGGGCTCCCGGAAAAATCGTTTCAGAAACCCTTGATGTGCCGATTGATGACGTCGGTTTTCCAATCCGCACAATACGTACATTACAGTTTTTTCCCGTCCACGTGTTCGCGACATCGCTCGCGCGAATTCGGGTGCTAAGATCAGGGGAGGAACTAGGGGGTGGAAGACGGGGATTCATCCCCGGGTGTAAAATTGTAAAGGGTGTGATTTTTGTAATTATTAACAACTTATTTGATATTTTTAACTTTGTTAAATACTGATATTAAGTTAAAACTCAATAAGTATGATTGTATATTTATTATTAAAAAAAAATTCTCGATAAGAGTACTTGATTATTGATCTATGATAGGACGTAATTTTAACATTTTCGCCGGGCGTAAAAATTCCTGGTTCCACCTCTGGCTTGGACGAAACGTTAATTTCTAACCACGGTCGTGGGCTACGACCGATTCGTTATCGTTTACAACGGTCGTGACGGTCTGGTTTGTTCTAGAAAAACTCGATGAAAGGAAGTACCCGACGGACGTGCGTTCCTCGTTGTTCGTGCAGACGTTTGTTGCATGTGCCGCCAGCGCCGTGGACCCCGTGTTGTTGATCCGTTTGCTCTCCAACCGTCTGGTCACCACACCGCTGTACCCCAGGAACAGTTCCAGCATCACGTCCATGTCGGGGCAAGACGCGTTCCCGCCCAGGACTTCGAGGAGCCGAGCTTCATCCACCGACACGAGTGCCAGCACCCGCAGGAAACGCGTACGTGTCACGCAATAATATATACGATACATAGTGTACGAATGTATACTGGCTTCATGAACACTCAGCATCATAATCATGTCTACAAACGACACCCTTATGCGCCCTTAGTTTGTATTCTAACAATTCAATCGCCCGCTGTACTAAAAATGAAACAAGCTATAGCTATACACAGATGTTATATACTACTTCTCAATGCGATAATTGTTCAATATATATAAAACTGTTAATATGTACATAAAAGACAAATCATAATCTCTTGGTGTCTAAATGTCGATTATGGTTTGAGGTAATTTTTTTTAATATTCAATTCACAAATAATTCATTACTTTCATTTCAAATCGTCATTGTTTCACGGATATGAAAAGTTTGAAAAAAAAATGTTTAATCGATATCCGCTGAAGAACGCAATAAACGATAATGCAGTATTATTGTTACATTCTTATCCATAATCATTATTTGCATTTAAAAAATATTATTCTGTACATTTCAGTTCAATTTGAGTTTGGATACTACAAAGTGTTATGGCTACGATGCAGTCGACGGGATTCCTCTCAAAGGAAAATCGAAATCAACTGGTATGCATACACGACGTCGGCGGAGCAGTTCTAGCAGTGCCGGCGGTTTCGGCATCGAACCTGCGCTTCAAGCGACTTTCAACGCGTTTTCAAACATGATCAAACATGACGTATTCAAAGATAACACAACGAGTCCGGATATAGACAATTACGAATACAGAAACTCTAGTGGTTTGTAAAAAAATCATTATTATAATATATAACAATGTATTATTAGCGCTCAGACGATAATGTTTAAACGCGGACGGGTACCGTCCAAGGGTGCGTTGAAAATAACAAAGTCAATGGTGACATAAAATAATTCGCTACTTTTCACCTGCTTGGGTCTTTTGTTATTGGTGCGTTCGAAACTAAGAAACACTATATCTGTCCCGTATGAATTTGTTAACAATAATTGTTACAATTATTGTAGTACTCAGGGATGTACTGGCTAGGGAGTCGAATGGGCAATTGCCTACCGAGCACCCAATAATGCCGTATTAATAAAAATTATATATGTTCTTGTGTACAAAATATAACGTATATTTTTTGTTTTTATTTGTACATTTGTATAAAACATTAGTGAACAAAAAGTACAAGAAATCCTAATTTGTATGTAGATTTGTATATTTAATACCATGAAAATATTTTAATTTGTATCGAAAACAATATTAAATTTAATCTCATCCTCGTATTTTTAAATTTCCTATTCACTCTACTATAACTATGAAAAAATGCAATGTTTTCCTATATAACATCCTAATAAGAATCACATGACATACGTGACCATTTGTTATGCAGCTCGATTAATTTATAGATTTATAGTATACTTAATAGTTATAAATTGTTTATACGCTGTACAAATAATTTGAATTAATTTATAGTTTTGCAAATTGTTATCGCTTTGATAAATACATTCACTGCACCTACTCCAAAATTAGCACAATAATTATGTTAAAATACAAGTTTTTTCTAATCTGTATAATGTGTCACCCATTAATTATTTCATAATTCTTTTAAAAAAAGAAAAAAACTAAAAAAATAATCGATTAAAATATTATTTATTGTATTTAATATATTATTTTTGCATTTAATAATTTTTTGGCGTTTAATATTTTCAGCTCATAATACGTATTTTGGACATATTTTATTGAAATACCCGTTAAAAATACCCGTTAGAATCCAGTATATAATCATAGTATATTTAGTATATAAGAAGTATATGTTAAATTTGAAAAACTATTTTTTTTAGTATTATAGATATTATGTTTAATAATTATAAAATAATTACAGCTTCCTTGACATCAACTAAAGGATTATCCGGAGGATTCAACTTTCAATTTCCTCCAAGAAATCGTCCATCTATAAAATCAACCAATATTCGTAATATTATTAACGAGAGATCGAAATCGCAAGCTAATATTATGAAGGTAATTAATGAAATCTAATACTTTTTTACTCATAAGGTTTTATTTAAAACAAATGATTCATTGATTACATTGATTTCAATGATTTTTCGTTCAATAAATATCTGATAAAATTGATACATGTAATAAATATTACAGCACACACACATACATACATACATATATATATGTATATATTTATAAGTATAAAATATACAAAAATGACCTTTAATTATGCAATAAAGAACATAATTTTAAAAAAAAAAGTTGGTTATTTAATTTAACGTTGCTTATGCAATTTTATTTTGTATCCCTATGTATCATTATGATATCTGCCAGAAAACTAAAACTGCGAGTGTAAATTTTAAATCATTCAACGATAATATTTGTTTTAACGCTATTTAAAGTCTATAATTATTGATTTTTGATATAGGTAAGAGGAGACTCCTACCAACAAACGCCAGAACAAGAAATCTTAGCATTTCAGAAACAGTTGCAAAATTTACCAGACTTGGACTCACCAAGTCATGTACATTCTAGACGCTTACCATTGGATTCTGGGTTTACAACAGCAGCTGAATTTGCGCCAATTACCAGGCCACGATCTAGATCCATGCCTCGGGTTGCTTATGAATCAAGCCGTTATTTGACTCTTCCAGACTCATTCCCATTCAACTGTCGTTTGCCTAGAGGTCGTTCGGCAGGCACATTAGGATTTCAGGTATTTATATAATCAGTGCTCGAATTGGAGGGGACGTGGGCGGACGGAGTCCGCTTTCATTTTTTCATAGATTTCAGCGTCCTCCTTCATTTAATTAAGCGAGGAACGCTAAAAACGAGTCCTCTCGGGAGATGTTTACTTTTGAACAGTGTATTTGGATTTTGTTTTCATTTATTTATATTTTCTAACAAACTGCAAATTAATGGTTATTTCTTCCCAGAAAATGGTTATCGTTAACGACAATCACGGATTAAGTTAATAATCATGGCTAAAAAACTTTATAATTTTAAAGTGATTTCAGTTGTATAGTCGTATAGGTGTTTCTACTTTCTACTTTTGACAACTTTTTGAGAACTTTTTGTTTAATTTTCTACCAATTGACAAGATTAATACAACAAAATGGGTTGAATCGTGGGTTAAGAAAGGCAAACGAACAGGAGAGGAAGAAAATTATTATAAAAGGATAAAAATTACTAAAGAAAATACATACTCATCATTATTTTTTAATTAAATTCCATAATGATGAGTATGCATTTTCTTCAGTAATTTATATCCTTTTATGACAATTTTCTTTCTCTCCTATTTGTTTGCCTTTCTTAACCCACGATTCAATCCATTTTGTTGTGTTAATCATGTAAATTGGTGGAAAATTGAATAATATTTATTTCTGTAATTAATATTATTATTTCGTTATAAAATTATGTTTTAGTAATAAACAAATAAATCTTATATAATAATACTGCCTTTATAGTAAATTGTTATATGTGCAGGGGGCGCGGGGGAAGAAGTTCACAACGGGTTACTTTACTTTATATCAGCTATGGAACGGTATTTTTTGAACTAAAACCAGCGTCTATCTTGAATTTTTTTTTCAACTGTATATAATACTACGATAGAAATATAGAAATTTTCCAATTATGTACTCAAAATGATTGAATTATATTTTATCGGTCGATTAATACATTACTATTTAAAAAAAAAATGATATAATGGAAACATATTGCAATATTTCTATGCGGAGTATTTCGAAATATTGTAGTTAAATTATTATCAATAAATTAATGAATGTTTAAAATTCATGGCAGTCGCATTGGAATTAAAAATAACTGGGAATCTAAGCTATAAAGTATAATAATAATAATAATAATAATAATAATAATAAAAATAATAATCGTAATAATAGTAATAATATTAATAAACATAATAATAATTAATTATAATAAAAATATTGTTATTAATTATTATCTAATAATTTTTCCCTCGATGATGAGTTTGCTGGGCCAAACAAAACTGCTTGCAGTTTTCACCAAATATAAGTTCGAATTAAAGTTTATTTTATTAATCTCGCGTAGACGGAATATCATGGACCGTGCGGGCCGATGGTCATATCCAACCAAGCATTTTCGGCGTACAACAGCTACCCGGTAAACAGTAATGACACGAGTGGTAATGCGGCATGCAGCAGCAGCGTCGCCGGAGGTGTTTGCGGCGCGGGCGCCCTTTCCTCGGGCTCCGGAAACACGTACAACAGCAGGAGAAGCTCGTACTCGCCCAGTGACAAGTCGAGAGGAAGGGACAGCATAGCGTACACTCACGGCAATGATATGCCCATTGCAATCACTCCGTGGCACAGGAGCATCCTAATTCTATTCGAGGTATACACGTTTTTGACTTACACGTCCATATGTTTAAAATGTGCACGTTTTTGTTATCGAATACGTAATATGTAAAAGTTAGTAGATCGTGATTTAGATTAACGCGTATGGTGCCGAGCTTCCCGTGTGTATTTCTGAATAATTATGTAGACCAGAAGTTATTGCATAGAACATTCGCGTCGTATGTATATAACTTAGCAACATATTAGCATACGTATTATATACGTCGATAAGATCAAACTATTATATATTATACGGTTGATTAGTGTATAATACCTAGGTAGCTATAGCCGTAATCTGTTGTTTATTTAATTATTTATTTATTAAATCCAACGCGCTACAGGTCAAAGTATTATCGTGTTATAAATCGTTATCGCATTACATTGATTAACGTATTAATAAAGAGTGAATATGGGTATTGAAAAAAAAAACATCAAACAACAAACAAATAACGATTCTGCGGTTGAAAAAACAAACCACTGTTCGAAGTTTAATTTAATAATAATTAAGCTTACTAAGTGCAGAAAGTAAAAATGGGGTAGTTTTTTTTATTTTATTTTATCGGAAACAAGAGAGCTCTATTAAAAAGTCAATACATACAGAGTCGCGTAGGAAAATCCGACTGCCTATAGTTTCAAATGAGAGCATGCTACACGGAACTCGGCAACAGATAATAATTTCACTCAATTTATGCTAAGCAAACCGATTCACATCTAGGAGTTTCCTACGCTTTTGTGTCTGATCTTACGGAATATATGTATGGGTTGTTTGGCAGTTTCAATCATAAGCTGAGTGCACTTTAATCGACTAAATTACTAGTAGTAGTAGCAGTAGTGTAGTGGAGTGTAAACGCAAGTGACGGCGTATAACGACTTATTAATTTTTTTGGTTGATACGTATTAATTGTTATAAGCAGGTATATTGGTATATCAGCTATACTGTATGCTTTAGAGCTATAAACAATATTAACGAATGTTGACCTTATTTAATACAAAAATCAAAAATACCAAACATATTTTCTTGTTATCACGTTTATTGGGAATAGTTATTGCTTTTAAATTTTACACGTCCATTTTATTTTTATCGTTTATAAATATAGTTTAAAAATCTGTTACACTGCTAACAATGATGACGTTACAATATTTTTAAATTGCATTATATTAATTTTGAATTCAGATCTTTATTTTATTAGCTGATCTTATTACTCACTGATGAAATAATAGGGGTAATGGGTAGGAATTCACCCCAATTAATATTCTTACTTATAATTGGCATAAACTCAAGACTTTTTAAGCACTACATCACATAGTAATAGTAATAGTAGCAGTGCAAATTTAATTCAGTTCAAAATAAGCTGCGTAGGAATAATCAAACTGTTGGATAAAATCAAATAAAAATAATGACCTTCGATGTTTAAAATTATAAGCGCTTATTTAAGACCTGGATCATTTGGAGTATGAATAAAGTATAATTCGTAATGTTCGTATTTATGTGTTTATACAAGCAGTTCTTAACTTGGAAAAAAAATAGTAGAAATACACATATGACGCATACAAATTATACGTCCCTACCTAATTAAAAACTGAACCATTTTTACTCCTTTATGACATCCTCAAACACGTTACCAAAAACCAACAAATATTCGATAATTTATTATGCTCACTTTCAATGTTTGAACCATAACCTCAATATATAAATATAGTGTATATGTTTTTTGTCTAAAAAGACTAAAATCAGTCAAAATTCTAATTATAATAAAATAAAAGTATATAAACTACAGCCATTCTACGTAATGGCAATAAGTACACTATTGTGTATGCTAACAAAAATGTCCGATATTAATGTTTGGTTATTATCATTTATCATGTATTCCTATAAAAAAAACCTAATACATAAATATTATACCTACATGTCTTGTAAGGGGTATATTTTTTATAAAAATATATTTATTTTTATTTTGTAAAAACAAAAATTATTTTTTTTTTTTTTAAATAGTAAGAGTACGCTAAAATATCTGATAATTTAGTTGGGCAATCAGTCCCCCTCTCTTGAGTAAAACACTGTATTAAGTCACTGTAATATAATCAGTTAACAATATATTCTGCATGTTTTCAAATAGGCAATTAGGTTATCATGTAAAATCATTAATAGTAACATAAAAATGTAATGTGTAAAAATTTCTCAGAAAAATTTAGTTTTTAGTTTATGTTTATGGGTTATAAAATACTACTTTCAATTTTTTGTATTTTAAATTTTAATCTGATTGATGCAAATGATAATTTTAGTCATGTTTAGGACGAGATAATAAAAAAATTATTCTGTATGACCTTACGTTATTTTAAAATAAATTGTTAATTTACAAAAAAAAAAACTAAAATAATTTTATCATTCAATTTTTGTTATTTACTATTCACTTAAATATTTTGTAATTATAATAAGAATTAAACAACTTAGAGAAAATAATTAATTTCAATGCTATAATTTTGCAACTTCTAACACGGGTACAAAATAAAAAAAAACTCATGTAATTGAAAAAAAAATATTTTATTAAACCTATTTAAAGTCATCTTAGTGTATTTAATCATAACCTTCCTAATAAAATTGTTAAGTTAAACATGCATGATACTTTGAAACAGAAAATAATAACCGAACGAATGAGTATGTATGTTTTCGACAACTAACCCAAATTATGAACTTTTTGATTGTGACCGTAAACTGTATTTGATAGCTATTGAACGTTTATTTAAAATTATTGATTTATAATTAATATAGGTCGTTGATTATTAATTAATTTATACTCGCTAGTGTAAGATTTTACATTTTTTAATTTGCATAGAAGATCTGGTGATATAAACATTTATTTTTATTTTTAATACATACGATAGAGAATAGTAAAATTGCATTCTAATTTTAAAAAACTCAACTTCTTATTTAATACATACTAAGCATGAAAAATAATTATCAAAAATATGCAAATATATGCAAAATAAAATGTTGTACTATCCTGCATAAAATGTTTACTTTACTCAAGATATTACGATGATATACCACGAATTTGCAAAATAAACAAGTTTAGAATTCTAATTACTATGACTTAAGTACACAAAATATTCTTATATACATTTACAAACTTAAGATACATTTTAAGACATATATATTTATAATTTATTTATTAATCTTTTGAATAAAATAAAATTAAACTTTAGAAGTGAATTATATAAAGATAAAAAACTATGGGAAACCAAAAATATAATAAAATAAATAAAACACTGAAATATACAGTTTAATAGTAAACATGTAACTGGTTTTTTATTATTTCTACAATTTATATTCATTGTGTTTTTGTAAATGTTGAACATTTATCATAATTTGTTTGCCATTAACATATTTTTAACAATGAATACTCAGAATACTTGATGTGATTAAAAAAATATATAACAATATTAGCATCATATAGGTACTACAATACCAGTAGATAAGTCTTATCGTTGTAACAGCTAAGCAAATCCATAGTCTCGTATGAAAATCGCCGAGTAAAACCAATACAAATTTATAATATACGGTTTTAAACTGTCAAAACAAATCAAAGAGTGCTTTTTTTCCGTTGTGTAAAATATATTGAAATATATTGAAATGTTAACGAGCAAACAACGGAATGTATATAAAACGCTATTTCGTGTTTCTACGTGTATTCTTGTATAATACGCACGAAATACTTTTTGAACGTGCACGTATGTTTGTCCTGTGAAACATTTCTTACCATATAGTTGCCAATAAAACCATGTCAATTTCATTAAAATATTAATTAATTATCATCGGACGATGTATAATATTATTCATGTTTAACTATACATTTTGACCGAAATTGTAATGCACATGTATTAATAATACTTTCGATAATATTCATTATTTTTTTATTGATCATTAATTCCAATCTGTTTTTCATCATAAGGGCAATATAAAATATTTTACTCTGTTAATAACCTAATATGTCATTGTGGCACGGTTAATGCAGTAATAGAGAATAGAAAGATAAATGACTGAAGTACATCAAAACATAAATATCGTACGATTAAAGTATTTTATCCTGAATGATATAGATGAAAACTGCCCTTAAGATTTGTATTACCGGGGATCTGGACGTTGAACCTATGCAGTTGTTATGATGTGTTTGTTCCATTCTCGATTTCAATCCCAGTTGAATATACCCACTGAATCCCTTACGCTTTTGTTCTAAACGACTTCAACGTAGTTTTGAACATGGTTATGTAACATAATATCACGAAATTACTTTGTCATCACGTTCAATTAATTAAATCTTCGACTTTGACAATCGTCTCGTATGCGTCTACTTTATTTCTGCTCATAGTAGTCGGTATATTGTATTACGTGTTTTTCCAATATGTTTGCCTTCTCAGCTCATGTAAATTTGATTACAGTGCAAACTCGATTATGCAATATAACGTTAATTATTGCCTGTATTTTCATTTTAGACTCTTAAATAACACGGAAGAACCATAAATCAATTATGCTTGAGAAATGTGCTCCCTTTTATTAGTTATTCGTTTGTAACTAATAAGTAATAACTAAAATTAAAATCACATATTATTGTTGTATAAATTCATAATACAGCAAGTAACAATAATAAAACTTTATTTGAAGTTTTTTTACTTTTTATTTTATCATTTTCCATCGAATATACTGACATTAATGATTTTCAATCGGTTGAATTTTTCAAACATTTTATAAAATAAGTAAATAAATAAAAAAATACGATATTCTATTACTAAGTTGAAGTATCGTAAAACATGAAAAAATAACCCAATAACATTTTAAATTACTATACATCACGTATGCGTAATAGTACAAGATACTACTTTTAATGTATGAAAAATATTAATTGGTATTAGAGATCTTAGTTCGTACATTCTAATATGTAACGATTCAAGTATATCAATAACCCATAACACTTGACATTTAATTAATATGAAATTGGTTTGCATTATCGTTTATTAACCCCACTTCAAATTTAGAGATTCCAAACTTTCTACTCTGAATATATTTTTGATTAATTGTTTACTAACTATATAAAATGAACTGTTGTATAACATAAATCGTAGTGTTGTCATATTTACTGCGAATTATAAGTCCTTATTGATAACAGGTACATGTAATAATATAATATTATTGAAAATCATGGTATACAATACGTTTATTGAATTCAAGTGACTTTTATTTGGTATTAGCAACAATTACACACTTACAATTTATATAGAAAAATAATTTTTTGGAATTGACACCAATAAAAATGAAAAATCCTTGGACAATAATAAAACATGTTCAATTTTACTATAACATAAAATATTAGTCCAATATCTACGCGTAGACAAGGAAAACGCGGAGGTTTAAGTATATATCTCCATTGCCCTTTTTTATTACGATTTTTATTATAATATTAATATTAAGGATAAAATAAATAAAACAATTGATACATTTTTTATTTTATAGAAATATTTTCAATATTATTATTGAATTCTATGAAAACAAGTAATTAAATAATTTCCATTTACTTTTAATTGGGTCACTGGTACTATTAACTCCTACATTTTTACAATTGAAAAATAACAAATAATCTTTCACAAAATAATTTCTAATTATTTCTTATTATTATTATTCTTATTTTAATTTCAAGTTATTTAAATAGTATTTAAAAGTGTGTTGATAATTATTTACGCTTCTTCAGAAACTATTTAGTTAACACAGTGGTGCCAATTTGAAATGTATGCTCCAAAGGAAAAATATAATACATACACTAACCATTTACTTAAAATACAATTTTTTGCTATATACGAGCGCAAAGAACACACAAAAATATGTAATGGTAATCAATTGAATCAAAATTATTTAATTAAACCATTTTTATTTTAATTTCCAAAATATTATATATCTGTTGTTTAATTATGAATATATTTAAATACGAATAACTAAACCCAACTAAAAATATACATTTAACCTAGTGCCTAGGTTTTTTTTTAACATGAACTCTTGATTTAGTTTAAAATGTAATGTTTAGATTTTGATAACCATTTACGAAATTTGTACTAAAACCTAATTCTATAAACGAAAATCTAATAATTGTTTTTATGTGATCTTTAAATCTTACTTGCTGGGTGTCATCAATGGGTGCCTTCCCTTATCCGTCATAAACGTTATTTTATATATACCTATTTATTGTACAAACATATGTATAGATTGTAGATTACTTAATAAAATAAAAATAAAAAAAATCTTACTTATCGTATTATTTTATTTTTATTTAAGACATGGTTAAGAACATCCAAAACTGAACTAAATGAACAGCATTCCTTGTGTGTGGAAATGAGAGAATTCATGCGTATTGTGAATCACATAGGAGGAGAATATTCCCAGTGGTACATTGAAATGGTTACCGAATTCAAGGAGCTTGTAAGTTTTTTTTCATATTTAAATTGTAGTATATAAGTATTTTAAGTATTAAACTCTTTTTGTTGAGTTATACAAACTAAAACATCATATTAATAAGTAAAATAGATATTTAAAGTCTTAAAATTATAACTTAATTGCAGTGAGTTATAATGGTTTTGATAGTATGGAGCCTTATTTTCTATGTTCATAAATATACACATACAATAATCTATATTAATTCTTAACTGATGAAATTATTATTTTCAGTCCATCGAAATCGAAAATAAAGAAAGAGATACTGTAATGGATTTGAACAAGGAATATTTAAAGGTAAAATATATTGATTTTTTTTTTCTGAATCAGTTTTAGTTATTTTATTTAATTAAATGGTTTCGAAAATTGTGTTATTTTAAACCCGTAATATTCTAGTTGTTAGCATTCAATTTACTGACCAAATTAGTTTAGAATCTATATAATACGAGTATTCTAAGTATTCAGAATTTGTGTGGGTTATTAACATTATAAGCTGGTGTCCAGATACTATAAGAACATATAATAATAAATCTAAAATTTAAAAATCCCTGTTAATAATAAAAAAAATTTAACCTTTTATATGTATTAATAGTTTGAAAAATACTGCATGTCAATCTGAAGTTGCTTAAATCGGTTGCTAATCGGAAAAAGTTTTTCTTCTGTTCTCAATCGTTACTGATAATCTTAATTCGAAATATCACAAGAAATAGTCAAATTAGAGATATAATAAAAAATTAATACTTTCAACAAAACCTCTCTTAAACAGTAAACATTAATTTTAATTATACACTTCAGTGTCTGTAATCGAATAGAAAATTCAATGCCAATAACTCTGTACGCTGTCATAATCATGGTTGTAGTCTCTGAGAAACGTTGTAAGCATATATATTAGATTCTTGGATAATTTTGTTGTCATGATATCACAAAATAAATTATTCAACGTTTTGATGATTTCCATATGAGCATTAAATTATGTGGTTTCGTTAAATTCTAATAGAACTAAATATTTTTTCATTCGAAAAAATTTAGGTATCTATAAATACACAGCGTTTATGAGTACCCGGTGATTTCAGTAATGTTTACCGAATAAAAATATTAACTACGTTGGGCATAAATCGTTCCCACTGATCTGGAACACAATTTAGGCAGTAATCTATATTTTCTTCTTTATTCTTGTGTATATCAATTTTTAACTATAATTTTTACAATAACTTTTGTAATGTATTTATTAGGTGTTTTCCGAATATCTCTTTCTGAAATCAAAGGTAAACTTTGGCGTTGAAACTTAGGCAGGTCAAAATTAATGTTTATTCTTATATTTTATAGGTGAAATTAAATTTATATACAAAATATACAAAATAAAACTTTAACAAAATATGTCTTATAAAATTAGTTTATGTATGTAGTTTTTCTTCTTTTTTTACAATATATTGGTATAATACGAGATATGAAGAGATTTAAGAATCTAATTAAAAATAATTTCGCCTTGAATCTTGTATTGACCGACAACAATATCTACGACTATGTCGTCCTTAAAAACTAAAGGAAAGTAAAACTACTATAAAAAAAAAAATCTTTTAATGTAAATTATTACGAACACATTGCTCTTTTTGAGTTCATAAATATTAGCCAAAAATCGAAAATTAACATGGAACTAGAATCAGGTTTTATCTATTATAGTATTTATAATTAGCTAAGTGTTATATTTTAGATTTTATTAATGTATCGTAATAATTGGAGCTCCCTTCTATAATAAATTATTTTATTATAAAATTAATGAAAATACACTAATTAAATTATTATTTTTATGTTTCAAGCCATATTTTGCATTTTATTCACTATTGTCATTCTGAAATGGTTTGCCTTACTTTTAGATTTATTAAATTGGATATTAATAGTGCAATCGTTAAACTGCACTGGTTGAAAATTAAAAACCGTATGTTGTTGGAACATAAATAAATAACAGTTTATTTATAGTTGTAAATGTATTGTATTAAGAAAATTGAAGTGTCAATTAAACATATTAAGTAATTTATTTTATATTCAACTCTTAACTACATCTTTTAATATTTGAGAGTTCAAAAATCCTTTAAATTTTTATTCGAAAAAATGTATAGTTTCAAATTTGTTTAAAAGCTTATGTTATAACAGTTATTTTAGAATAGAAAAATAATATGATTTTAAGTATACCAAACACATATTTCTACTATAAAGTATGATATGAGTTAGATATATTTTCTTTCTACGCTGAATATTATACACAATTCAATATCAGTAGTATCGCATGTTCATATTATACTAATTGCTAAGATTAACAATTTATATATATATATATATATTTTTCTTATCTAATATTTATGAATAATACTTATCGAAATTTCAAGCTATTTATTAAGAAAGAAAAGAAATAAATAATAATTAAATTTTTTTACTCAATTATTGAGTAATCCACAAAAAATATTTTTTATTATATACTTCAAGAATTATTTATTTTAATATAATTAAGTTTCAGTACAGTATAGTGTTATTATATATTGAGTTTCAGAATACTTTAAGTATTGATTACAAAGAGTAAAACTTTTTATTCATTTCCTTTATTGCTCAAGTGATGGTTCAAAATTCGAATTAAAAAAGTTATTTATTGTAAATTAATAGAAATTAAAAAGTTTTATTTATTTAACAACTAATTAAAAAACGCTGAATTCTTAAAATATATTTATATATATATATATATATATGTATACAATAAATATCCACTGTTTGCATTATAAGTTATTCAAACGATCACGTTAGCTTTATATTGCAATGTTATTCTTGTAGTATATTTCTTTTATCATGTATTAGTTCACTTTAAGCATCCTTATAATTTTGATAATAAAACTAAAATCAATCATTATAAGCTAATAAGGAACTAAATAAAACATCGGTATTTGCGATCTTTGTATTGCCCAAAATTATTAACATTTTATGTAGTCATACTTTAACTACACTCATAGTCACTTTTTAATCTCTAGCATAGTAATTATTTACATTTTATATCATGTAAACTACCCAGTGTTACGGACTGTTTATCAACAAAAAATACATGCAGAACCAAGCTATCAGGCCAAAGTCGATTTTGAGGAAGATTATTGCTGTTGACTCATTATATAACTTGTGATTGAAACATATTAATAATTCAATAATAGGTATCATTATAGAATACATGTTTCCACTCGATTGACCAGACGGACATTGCCATATATAGTTGTTATAGGTTATTGATATGTGCATGGATTGCCATTTAAGTTATATTTAACATTTATAGCTCACATTTTCAAATAGAGTCATATTAACTACTAAGCAGTATTATATAAATATTATTCTCCAATTCTTCATAATAATATTACAGTTATGAGATAAAGTTATGTCGACTAATTTTGAAAAAATATGAACAAATGACGTTCAATGGTGACTGATTCAAAATACAGTAATAATATAAAATACAGAAATAAGAAATGATGTATTATTTATACACAAAAAAAAATCCATTAATCCCGGTAAATGTTTAGTAAGAAATATAATATAAATTATTATTCGTATATTTCTTATCAAACAATGATTATAAAATTTAAAAATATTCAGTAAACTATACATTGATCTGCCTAAACTGCCTAAAGCATATGTCACTTATTTTTGGCGTTAACATTATTCTAAATAATAACACAACTAAGCTTGTTAAAACAATGTAACACGTAAAATTCGGATATAAATTGACGTTGATTCGTGCTATTATTTATAGCTAAAGTGAATAGAAGTATCAATATCCACTTTGAAGTAGATAAAGGTTGATTTAAACTAGTAGTAGATTATTTTTATTTACTATTTGTTACCCATTTTGATCTTCTTTATTAATTTAAATATTAAAAAATATCTTCCGTAAACATTTATTAACACTTTCAATTCAGTAAAATACATAATATGTATTATATTTATATTATGAATAATTCGAAAATTTCACGATTTTCTGCGTAATCATTTACGTATAAGTATATTAGTTTGACTATTTTTTATAATCCAATATTACGTCTAGTTTAGCATTCGTAATTCGTAATCCACATAACGCATACATCAGTTGAACAAGATTACTTTTAACATGATTGAAAAATATTGTGGAAAAAAAAAATTATACAGATTGTAATAAAGAGAACGTTTCTCATAAAGTTAGCGTACTTTATTGTTTTATCAATTTACATCAATGCAGTTGGATACTTTCAATATTTCTCTGGGGAAGGTTTTAAAAAATGTATCATAAAAATACTACTTTGGGTTCACTTTCCGGACCTACATTACCATAAACCCTTACAGTTTCTTTTGAATATCAATACAATCACATTTTTAGTCTGGTTTATATTATAAAACATTTATAAATACCTATCCAAAATATGTACGATTTAATAAAAACAAAAATGTATTATTTATAGCAATTTTTTGTTTAATAAACATATTTAACATACGTGGTAATATATTTGTGTGGTATAAAAAATCATTCACGTTTTATCATCATTGATTTATGTAAAATGCACTTTGTAAGTAATAGCCTTGTTGAAATTCGAATGGTGTTATATTTTAAAATAATTCAACGGTTGTGACTTTTTACGTGTCCTTTGTTTACGTTTATTTCAACCCATCGTTATGTTTACCCATGAATAATGAAAAATATCCTATTAAAAATAAAAACATAATAATAATAACGTAGTGAATTATTCTATAGTATGACACGCAATCATAAACGCTTATTATTTACTTTGCTTATTTTGAGTTTAAATCTGTTTTTTTTCCCCGAGAGACTTACTCGAAGATAACCCCTATAGCCATTAGTACGCCACTCAGGGACATATTTAACCTCCCATCTGGGTGGTAGACAATAGTGCAATGGATTTTTTTTTAAATCTGCTATACATATGAATACCCAAGGATTTGTTGAACATTTTGGACGAGTACAATTTTTTTTTAAATATTAATTTAAATGAATTATCTCCAAGTGCACTTCAATGTACATGAACATTATCACTACCGCTAAAAAGCAAATAACCATATAGAATAATAAATATCATGCACAATTGTATTATTTACTCGTCGCGTTCTCTCGATTCAATATTTTTTCTATTCAATAATTTGTTCAAAATAATGCATGAATTATTATTCAATTTTTTAAAAATTCGACAGAATCGTTTCTGATATCTTAAATAATACGAAATTTGCGAACGAAACCACTTTTTCAAATGTTTCATTAATAAATAAATTATATTATTTAATAACCATTTAATTCATAAATTATTCAAATTATTTGTTAATCCATACATTACCGTTTTTAACACAATATACTAAAAAATACCCAAATAATTATTATACAGTAGATTGTCAATGATTATTCGAAATTTATAAGAAATTTTTCTAGTAGTATTATTACCATTATGCTTTATAATATGTATTAATTTAGATCAACATTTATTTCTTGATAATCTCATTGATTTTAATGTTGTATACGGACTAGTTTTAGGTGAGATAATTGATTTTTATATGTTGATAATTTCATTATAGTCTTGGTTTGATTTCGAAAATATTTATATAGTTTCTATGATTTCCATTAAAAATTTCAAAACGAGGACTGTAATGACTTTACCAAAATTTGTAAATTTATTAAAATTTTTTTTTTTTTAGTCTGTCTTTCTGTATACATGGTTTTGACTAAAACGATTGCTCTGATCATCAAATAAAAAATAAAATATAGAAAATAGATTCTAATTAGTACATTTGAGAAGTAGTTTTTCTTGGATTTCTCAAAAATGTTCTTAATAATAGTGAAAACCGAGAAAAAAATTGCAAAAAACCTTTAATTACTACCAATATTCATACCTTTACCGCTAAAATCGCTCATTGTATTTTCACACTCTACTCTTATTTTTGTTTGAGTCGTGTACACAATTTCGATCATCGCAATCATAGAGGTTTCTGAAAAGTTCAACGTACCATATTATAAAATTTAGTTCTAATATTATATAAAACATCTGTAGAAATATAAATTGATCAACTGGACCTCTTTAAATCGGAATTTTTTTTTTTGAGAATAATGGTACATTGATTTTAAGTTCAAAAGACCAATATCGTTCAACAATTTCTGTATTTCACCCGACCGTGAAGCCTCAATGGACATAAAAGTTTTATTTATATAAATGTACATTATTTATAATAAGGTGCACAATCGTCACATTTAATACACATTTATGTTGTAATAAGTTAGGATATTAGAGTTTGTAATTTGTGTTCCTATGTTGAACTTTTTTTGCAATAAACCATTGGACAAATATTTATATAATTCGGTACACGAATACGCGATAATTATACGAGTTATTTTTATGAAAACTCAACATTTTATTATATTTACAGAAATTTCGACACTATGTATAAACTCTTATAATTTTTGTTTCGTTCTTACGATCTCATATAATATTCATAATGATTATAAATTACATATTATATTTGACCGTTGGCATTTTCAAAGACAATTTACTATCAAATATATATTTTCAAAAATAATAAATTGTATTATTCACTATGCACGTGTTTATTATAAGTTATTGTAAGTTTGTACTTGAAATGTCTACGATTTACAATAAAATCCTCCTCGGTATGGGCGAATTTTACCGTTCACGGGGAACGGCAAAATTACCATGCATACGATGTAACGAATTATTTCTCGTGAACCTTTACATTTAGTCGGGATGTCTGATCAAATATACTTTTAATTGAAAAATAACGACAATCTAGCCGAAACGTTATTTCACGCAGACTGACAAACATCGTTTGGCGGATTGTTTTCGAGGCGTTCAAACGAAAATGTAAAACGATATGTATACTACTCAAACACACCAATGCTTGTTCAATGTAAGTCACATCCGTCTTAGCTGGAATTTAATGCAGCGCATGATGACGGAAAACGTTGACGATTTCAATACGTAGTGGTATTTCTCGTGCCTCCGACTTAATACAGTTATTATTATTACGGTTATTCCGATTATTATTATTATGATTATTGTTATTGTTATTATTTTTATGCATTACCTCTAACCGTTGGCGTGTTTTCCCGAAAACAGTTGCAGAGCGCAGTGGTGGCCGGCACATTGCACTGCAGCGTCGACGAAGCGATCGGTTTGGCCGGGTTGCAGTTCCGCATCGAGAAGATCTCGGAACAGAACAACCGCACGCCGGACAGCCTGGCCGCGAACAGCCCGGACTCGCTGCTGGACGGCGGCGGCCCGTGCTCCGTGCTGCAACCCATATCCGAGGACAAGGAGCACTATCTGCAGATGGACGTGCCAGCGTCCGCGTCGCCGCCAAGGCAGCCGGACGACGACGACGGCCACGACGACGGCCGCGACGACGACCATGAAGACGGCAACGACGTGGACAACGCGGACAACGCGGACAACGGGGACAACGCGGACAACGCGGACAACGCGGACAACGGGGACATCCCGAACGCCGTGTTCGACGCGAACGCCGTGTTCAACGCGGTCACCAGCCCGACCGTCACCGATGAGCCATCCACCACGAGGATGCGTGACTTCTTCTTGCGCATGTGTCGGCGCTCCTACGCACAGCGCCGGCACAAGAACGTGCCGGAACGTGACCCGTTCGGCATCGTGCACAAGGTGCACCTGTACGTGCCGCCGGACTACCGGAAGCCCACCAACACGGCCAAGTTGATCAAGGTCAGTTAAGACGCGCAGCCGTGTCCCGTCCGCGGGTCGGCCCGCAACGTTACGCGTTCCGTTCCGTTCGGCCAGCCGGCGGTATTATCGTGTTAACGGTGTTCGGTGGACATGCGCGTATGAGTAGGAAACGTGCCGCGGCGCGACGCCGATAAATAATAACCGGCAGGACCGTTCGTAAGAATCGTTCGATGGAGGGGTTAAAAATTGTACTCGTTACGTTAGGTAAAAGGTAAATAAAAAAAAAAAAATACGCGTCGGAGAGGGTCCGCGATAAAAAATATCACGATCGAAATTCAATGAATGCCAACAAATGTCTAAACAGCTTGAACAGCTGACTTGTCAGTGAGAATATGTTCTATCGATGGTTGCGTTTACAACGATAGTCGACAGTAGATGGAAAGTGCGAGAAATTTAAATAGAAATAGTCGTAATATCTAGAAAATTTGCACTATTAAAAGAAAAATACATAACTATGTATGAATTTTCAAGTCAGTTCAATTTTTATAGAACGGCGACTAGGTATATTCTTAGTAAAAATTTATGTAAGAAGATCTTCGATGAAAGGAGTTAGAACCTCACTCCCCTCCCCTTTGTGCTCAGGCCTGGTGACCGGTGTAGGTAAACTGGTGACAACACGAATCGCCGGTCAGCGGTTTCATCGTTATATATGATATTATTTTCCACCTTAAAGCGAACATTTTATCGTCACTTTTTACTGGAGATATATAACAAATAGGGATTTTTAATATGCTATAATCATTTGCAATCACATAGATCTAGTGAAGCTAATACGACGTTGATTGGTAAAGTCGCTTAAACAGTAATTATTGTCGTCCGTTACCGATTTTTATCTAATTTTGACGTTTCGATTTCTTTAAAATTATTTGCTACCCAAAAGCAACGTATTGCATGTGTTCTTGCGAAGGAACTGATAATAATAATAATTATTATCACAAGGTTTAACACGAACATATTTTGACCCGAATCATCAAAGTTTTTGGGATGAATCCGTTCCATCACCAGACCAACCAAATTTGCTGGTAATCCAATGTGTATTATACGAAAATCAACAAGAAAAACGATCTGATCTACGATTACTTCTAGTGTTTATTTCAGGGGTGACCGGGGGAAGTATTATCCTCGTTCAAGAAAAATGTATTTATTATTTACTTCTATGATATATCCCCCCTCCCGAAAATGTACAACACCTCCTTACCATCGGGATATAAGGTCTGAAATAAACACTGTTGACACCGACAAATCAAATCTCGACGGACAAAAAAACCTACCTGTGTTGGTGGTTCGAACTGCGATTTCGTTCATCATAGATCGCTGATGTATTCGATTAATGATTGAGAAAAAAATCACTCACAAGACGAATTTAATAAATACATCATAACAAATAAGATAATAAACACATTTAGATTATGATCAACCGTGTTCAATGGTCATCAGCCTTTGTGTGTAGGTGGCTCAATATATTTAACCAATTTGCCATGCAACTCTTTTGAAAATAATGTTCAATGTGAACACCCAGCACCCTTACTTTTTTCTTCTACCATAACCAGTAACCTGATGTAGATCAAATTATTAGTAATTGATATCAAGAAAAGAGCCGGTTAATTTCTCGTCAACTGTTTATCAAATTTAATTGTTTCTCACGAATGTGGTAAGTACATTAATTTGTTTAACGAAAAAAATAATTTGTGAAAATGTTTTGTACATTTTTATTTTTTTTAAACCATCGCATACATATAGCGCAAAGTGGTAAAGCTTATAAATGTACGTATTCCTACAATTTTTTAATTTTTTAGCAGTCCATTTAAAATCATTCGCGAACCGTATAAATATAAAAGTGACCAACTTTATTAGGACTACATACTCGTACTCTACTGTAATGTATCCCTAAAGAATACAAAATAATAAATATCTAAAACTATAATTTTATTATAACATGTATTGTAGTGTTATATGATAATTTAGGTAGAGGCATACTATTATCATATAATTTCAGTTCATATCTTATTTCACTAACTCACGTCAAAAAACATTTCGTGAGTATGAATGCGAGTAGTCTCATTAATATCACTCTATCATACATATCGTGTAATGAATACATATCATTTAATGATATCGGTGTACTTGTAAGTTTCATTCAAGTGTATACTAGTGTATAAAGGAAGACTTCAAACTAATAATAACTAGTACAATTATTTTCTTTTTCTTTTTTTAATAATTTGAATACCTTTTTTTTTTTTTTTTTTATTGAAAACTTTATGATACAATTAGTTATAGTATATTTACAATTTGGAATATATTGTGATATTATCTAATATCAAATAATATTTATCACATATTATATGAAACGATAAAAAAATGGAAACGTGGTATCACATGAGACACAATGAAATAGTACGAGTACATCACGTGAGGTTAATTAGTTTCTAACATATCAAAACAGTATTACTCATCATAGAGCATATAACTTAATGTTATGTGACGTGAGTAAGCGAAATGAGATGCAAGTTCACGTGATTTGATAGTAGTGTGTCTCGACCTCAATTGTTCGTTCATCCTGATATCAATGTTTTGTCATTGCGTAGAATCGTCAAACCGTCACCTGAATCCAAAATTCGAACGCATGGTTTTTTACATGTCACTACAACCATTTTTGATTTTTTCTGCGGCAAAGCTTATTGAGATGATGGGCTCATAACCATTGTGGTCGCACGTAGACGTCGTGTTTTTCTGTTTTTAATCGATTTAGATTTAAGGTCTATCTACCGTGAAAACAAATATATAGACAATACGCGAAATCGTATCTCACGCCTTTCTGTTAATTTACAAATACATTGAAGGCATTTTCTCCTGGTGTAAGCCTGACAGAGTGTCATGAATTATCCATTGATAAACCAAATTAGAACGCGCGTTCATATATACATATGTAAATTGTACAAGATTTTATTAATTAAACGTGACACGAATTATAGATATTTTTCACAATAATACTTTTTTCGTTTAGTTGTTGTTTTGTTTAATTTTTACTATTTTAGAGTACCGTTACCAACGTCGATATATTTTATCTTTATTACGTAAAAAAACAATCGGTTTGCTAAATATTTTAACTGTCTTATTTTATTAATCATAGTCGTCATATGAAAGAAAATAAAATCATAATCATTCATTAACCTGTACATTGTTTCTAAAGAATACTCGTGTCGTGAGTTTTAATTTTTTCCAAAAATAAATAAAGCAATACAATATATTCAAAATATTCAATGTATGTAATAATTTTAAATCCAAAAAATTCTTCTTTTCGAAGTATTTTTGTTATAAATTGTATGCCTGTACCAAGAAAAACAAGCATACTCATAAAAAGTACTTTACATTATTAACCCATTAAATAACATATATTTTATTTTTACTTAACAAAAAAATGGATCTATTATAATAAAAGATTAAATAATTAAAATAAATAATAAAATAAAACTCTAAAGTATCCTTATAATATCAATTTATAAGTTAACGTCATATTTCTAGCTAGTTATGTTTATTTTATAAACGTATAACACTCATCCAGAATACTTAATAACCCGTTATAACTTTGATAAGACTTTTTCACTTCGGTTCCCAGAATAATTTTATTATATTATGAGAAAAACTTTTAGATTAATACAATTGCAATTTGTGTTCTAGTGATATTTTTTATGTGCAGTGAACTAAATATTATAATAAAGCAAAGAAAATTTAATATTTTTTTTAATTACATATTTATTCAAATTATATTTTAAATCGTACAACGATTATATTCGTGACAATTTATTTCCAATGTAGTTAGACATGTATTGTTAAAAAAGAACAGAATTCCTCTTATGTGCATTTTTTTAAACAACCCAAAAAAATGTATAAGAAATAAAAAATATTAAACCATCACCACCCGTTAAATATAGATCCATGCATAATGTATAATTTTTGTGTATATAAGTAATTTATAAGTGTTGAATATTACAAACATTTAAAATATTCAATAAGAACGTTTAATGAGTCGTATTTTGATTCTAAAATACAATATTACAAGTAATTAATTACATATTGATAGACATTATTATAAAATGGATGTTCTTATTATGTTTAAGTAATTTTTTAGTGATTAAAATTAATATAGCAGACAATTATTGTCTGTGACATTAATATAATTTGTTTCTGTTTATGTTTAAAATATAATATTTACAAAATGCAATTAAACACAACTTGAAAAGACAGGGTTAAATATGAAAAAGGAGACAATTTAATTTAAAATCAGTCGTCTAGTATATGGCTCTCTTCTGAAGTATCCATCTCTACAAAATATCAGAATATACCAGATAAACTTATCATTTTTAATTAATATTTGTTTTATTCATAATTATTTAATTTAATTATATTAGATGTTTTTTTAAATCAAATACAAATTCAAAAAAAAGAAATACAATAAATTAATTAATTCATTTGTGGGCAATAGTTAAATAACATAATTTACTTGGGTAGAAAGTAAACTTTTCAACTTCAGGTAGTACAAATTATGAATGTGTATGAGCTGTCTTACATAATTTCTTATCCGTATTATAAAATAGTAATATATGACGTTCACTTGATTATCATAAATAACAAAATAATTCGTAAACGAAAGTTTAAACCCTACTGTTTGTTAGTAAATTATTGTTCAAGTTTCGTAAAAAGTAGAACAATTTAGACACTGATTATATTCTATGGACTTCTTGAAAGCCTATTGAATATTGCTACCTCGGGGATACAATTTTTATTATTCCACAAAATGTATATTGTTTATTTGTTATGTATATGTAATGTATATTTATTTAAAAATAGTACTAGTATATAAGCATTTGCAAATATACATTGATAAAGTTTATAAGTTAAAAATGTGTTAAAACGTGTTAAAAAAATGTAATAAACTAGGGATATCATTATTTTTATAATTACAACAAATGAATAATCTA